TCTGCACTATAATCTACTGCAAGCCCACTGATTAGCATTTGGGGTAAGTGGAGAGGAAAGTAAAGTTAACCAATCCATCACTGTCAAGATGAAGCACTCAAAGATTCAGAGGGAACACTGATGGTCACGGGTCACCTTTGAAGTCTTTATTTTACAATATTGACAAAGCAGTTTGACTTGAGACACAGCAGTCCTCTCTCTTTTGTCTACTTTTTATTTGGATGAGCATCGGGTGGGCTGGTGGACTGAAGCTGGTGTTACATTTTACGTGAGCAGATTATTCAATCCAGCCTCCGAGCTTCTTGGCAGTACAGCTAAGTTGAGCGTGCACTCTTCATTCTTTGTTAAAAGGCAACACTCGTGCTGCTTTCGCAATTTTAGCTGAGCACAAACAGACAGGGCTGACGGCTGTTTCTGAGAATGATTCAACACAGATTTCGTACCCAGGGTTAAGTCTGCAGCTGGTTTTACAGGAACACTTGCACACTGCATAGCAGAGATGTGAGGCTGCACTCACACGCCCTCATCACTGTTCGGAGAAAAAAAACAAAAAACAAAAAAAGAAGTACCCTGACAAGTTCTGGGTAGAGTGACAGAAGCCCTGAGGTAAAGATAAAGCCCTTTAGATAACAATCTTTCATTTTAAATCACAAGCTGTGCATGAAACTTCAAGGGGTTTAGACTGAGAGAGACAAACATATGAAATCTAAGCAAAATTTTTTTCTTTTTAAAAAAGTCATAATCTTTGGTGCACAGATGTGCATTTGGTTCTTCTCAAATCCAGTCACTCTTTAACTTTTAATTCAGAAAGTTGTTTATCTTTTGAATGGTTTCCTCCTGCTGACCCAGAGAATCCAGCAGAATGCCCATAAACGTCTTCTTCAGTCCAAATCCATCCATCTTGTTCTCCAGCTTATTCTGCATATTGCGTTTGCGACATGAAGCATGTGCAAATATTACTGAAAAACAAACCCGTAGAAAAATGTCAGCTGTAATATCACACTTTGAGGATCTGGAAAATGTGTTTCATTGATTTTGAAACATTTCATGATGTCACAAATGCAGTGATCATTATGCTCTGAAGAATTATTAGACATTCAATCACCCAATCCCCTCTGAAAGCCAAACTTACAAGTCAGGGGTAAAGTGATGGCCCACATGAATACCAAGATGCTCCCCAGCATGGAAATCAATATGCAGCTGGCAACCATGATCAAAATGATGAACGCCGAAGGTTTCTGCTTCTTAAAGTGGTTGATCGCAGCTCCGTTCTCCCCCACCCACACCGAAACCACGAACACGACCGACACCACGACTATGGCTATGAGCGTCTCCAGAGGTTTCAGGATCCTGCAAGGCAGCAGCATAGAACATATGAGGGCAAGTTTAAATAGCTTTGGCATAATGCTGAACTTGACCCCATGGTAACGACGTACAACCCTTGTGTGCAATATTAGTCTGCCCAACTCCAGGTCCTACCCCTCGGGTTATACCTCCTTATGTGCATTTTATAATATGTAAAATAACTTGTGTAAAGTGCGCTTTTCTACTGCTCAGCTTCACACGATTATGACACTCAGGTATACACGTTACACAGACATACACAGCCAGTAAATAACTCATGTTCAGTCCAAGCATGCAAAAGGCACTGTGTACATGCTGCATATAATGTATTTTGTCAGTATATTTATGTGATTTAAGGCTCTTTTTTTTTTTTTGCCTTAATGTCGTTATGCTTGCATAATGACAATAAACAGTCCCGAATCTTGAATCTGACATGCGGCTGGAGCACAGGCGCTGTTCTTGTGTGCTAACTGGCTCCATCAAGCGGTCAGATGCTGTGTGTGCAACAGCAACTGCTGAGTGGATCAGATTGGTTTAGAAAAATCAAATCTCAGATTAGTTTAATTGTACGAAACAGCAGTAGGGGCAAATCAAGAAAAATTTAGCGAATAAAAAGAATTAGAATAAAGTCAAAATTTCAAGATTAGAGTCGCAATTCTATTTCGAGAAAAAAGTCGAAATGTGGAGATTACAGTTGTTCAAGACAAAATGCCACGGTTGCTCTGCCCTCTGAGTTGGTGAAACTACTTCAGAATCAGTTTTAGCAACAATGAAGGGAATGATTTCTCTTTTGAAACAGCTTGTAATGGACAGTTCGTAGGGCATCGATAGTTTCAATATCAGAGCATGTATGTTGTATCACACGCTGGCTGATCACTAACTCATGTACACAGGCAAACGTGGCAGTTTGTCTTGAAACAACTCCATTTTTCTTAATGTGCCCCTAATACTTATAATTGTGTGTACACTTGGGATGATTAATATTTTTCCACTGAAACTGAGAAACGCCCCTTGCTGTTTGCAACCTGATGCCACTAAACCTGTTTCATAAAAGAAAAATGGAAAAGTTGTGAAATGCAAACAAAACAAAAACAGACAAACAAAAAAAACCCAAACAACTCTGGTGGAACATTTCACACTAAAACTTAGAAATATGACTTGATAGAAAACAAGCATCCAAAATAGGTTGAGTTTGCCTGAAGTGTTGCTGTTAAAAGATTCAGAGAAGACAGTCCAAAAGTGTGGGGGTGTCACCGAGTTAGCTGTGACCTCTTCAGACCCTTGCGCAACACTGCATAATAGCACAGGAACACTTCTAAAAACTACTGATGAGAAATAAATTTTAAACTGGTGCATCCACAAATGCAAGTTAAAACTGCATATAAGCAAAACCAGAGCTGTCCTCTTTGCGCTGACCACATTCAAGATGGACTGGAAAACTGTGCTGTGGATATTCTCAGGGCTAAAGAGGAAAAGCAGAATCAGTGATGGTATCAGGGTGTGTTAGCGCACATGTGCATGCCTTCATGCATGTGTGAAGGCCCTGATAACACTTAACGATTTAAATACTTGGAGCAACATATACTGCTATGCACATGATATCCTTTTCTTTTTCTTGTTTCGTGGAAACTACAGACAGTGCAAAAGATGCCAAACCACATTCTTCAACAGCAGGGCTGCTAAACTGGCTCGTCGGCGGCTCAGATGTCTCACACACTAAAAACATTTAGAGCACTAAGGAACAGAAAATAGAATTAACTTTTGTGAGGCTGAAATCTTACAAATCCAGGATAGGACAATCTGAGCATTTATTACATTTTCAAAACACAATAACACTTCTCATTGTCCAAATTTGATATAATCACGTTGTCTAAGGTTTAAATAAATCAGCAGATTGAAGCATTCTATTCTCATCTCCATCAAGACATCAAGATATCTCTTGTGCCTGTGCAGACATATTTGCTTTGTGATAGATCCAGCCTTGGCACGACGACAGTGATGCCACCAGGCCAAGTCCATGACCTCAGTAAATGTGGCTAGTGTCCTGCTAAGCAACTTAGTCAGGCTTTGTTGGATTACTGGCATCAAAAAAGCTCAAGAAAACTTCAGGAAACACGGCTTGATGAAGGTGGAAGCGGTCAAAATGTAGCATGATCAACTCATTGTCATATGCAGATGTTCGTCCTCTTATAGCAGAAAAGTTCATCTCCACAAAGTCCACAGAGGCTCTTTGGGCATTCTGTGGTACTTTTACTTGGAACTTTTCCTTTTGCAGTGACTTTTTCTTTTAATGTCTTGTTACAGTCACCTCATCTATACTTTGACGGTTTAGCTCTACTTCCTCATATTTAGCTCTATTGTTTAGTCAACATGGAGAGCTGATTTCTTGCTAATTTTTAGGAATGTTGCTCTAATCCTGAAAATCCTCTTCTTCTTGTAGGTTTGGTCTACAGGTATAATACTGAGTACACTGCACATAGTTCCTACTTAATCTGCCTACACTGACTTTTAATACTTCTTTGGTAAGTTTGCAAAAATGCCTTCAAGCCGTACAAACAGTATAATATTACACTGATTTATTTTCTCCGAGTTATCATATATCATATACAATAACACTATAAAACAACTGACTTTCACAAACACACAGCACAGACACTGTTTGCTCTACACTGAATGGAAATAGCATCACAGGGTTTTCTGAAAAACCAGACGTGTCAAAGTTCTCCCTGACAAATTTTCCAGTGCTCACTAATCAGGAGACTGGGGGCCTCTGATTAAGTTGCTGTTTTATCACCAGTGCTATCTGCAATATAACAGCTGACCAGAAGGCTTATGGGGCTTTCATGACCACAGCAACAGTGTTGTGGCACAGCTCAGTGGAGGCTGGGCTTTAGAGGGGGGGAGGGGGGGGGGTGAGAAGCAAAGCCAGGATGTTTTAGATCAGAGATAATATATGTCACATCTACCTTGTATGTAGTTACAAGATAATAGACGACTTCAGAAAATTCCTTTGCATAGGCACGTGTCTGTGCATGGATCTTGTTTTAAGTTATTCTACTTAAGTCCATTCTCAAAATTGTCTGCAGATACCTGTTTCACTGTTTAGAGCAGCCCCCACAAACGCAGGCTGTTTCTCAGCTATAGAGTTAATATATGTGAATTTTAACACTGCTTAAATTGCATTCTCATTTAATGATCGGTCGTTGGTTCTGGCACCAAAGAAATAAAAGTTCATATTGAGAATATAACAATAGCAGTGCATCACAGTCATTGTACTTTATGCGAGCTGGGTAAATAAACAAAAAAGACGAAGTTCTCTGATATAACATTACTTACCCGACGAGGAGGAAAACGGAGGTGACCAAAGACAGATAATTAGTTTGATAATAAAGCAGGTTGCTGACGACTCTGTTGTTCCATTTCGTAAAATCTTTGTCTGGTTTTGCGAATCTATTTGAGCCCGGAAAGAAGTCGGTCCACGGTCGGAGCGGTGCCACCTCCACCCTAGCCATCACTTCTGCCCCCTTTACTAAATCTGACAGCGCACAGAATCTGACAGACAATCGCCCTTAACTTCAAACCAGAATCTCGCGAGACTTCTTGTTGCACGTTCGTTAAAAACACTGCCTGACGAAACCTCGCGCTATTGGTTAGTAAAGTGCCCGGTATGGAAACTCTTCCGGCCAGCTTTCACGAGAGATAACAGGACGGTGTTATGGGAAATAGTGGCGACTTATGCGCATATAATCTCCTTGTTAAGTTGTAGGTCAGTTTGTCTGTTGTTTTTGGTTACAGATACGTTGGCATGGAAAAACATCAACGTGAAATGTTCACGAGAGCTGCTCGAGCGCAGGAGCATGCGTTCAGTGACTCATAGCTAGCTAGCTCGATAGAAGTAGTGATACACAACCAAGCAGCAGCCCGTGACAACGTGTCTTTTGTCTGTGCAGATGTGGAGCAGGTTACTGAGTCCTCGTGTGAGTGGTAGAGCAAGTTTGTGTTGGAGAAGCCTGTTTACCATGCAGCTAAAGACCAGCGAGTTCCAGTCCCTGTTCACTGATGGACTGAATGGATTGGCAGGTGAGGCACAGCTGCGGAAGGACACGTGCCAGCTGCACGGTCACTTAAACCTCTGAGTTTTCGCCTATTTGTGAAATGTTAATACCCGTGCACAATGACAGAGTGACTGACAACTTGATCACTTCCTATTAAAAATAAATGGGGACACTCGGAGAGCAGTTAAGTAACGAAGACCGCCCGTCGGTCTGTTACTTACTTTCTTATACAATTAATTATTAATGCAGTTTTTATTCAACATCGAGGTTTTTTATTAGGTACAGGTTTATTGTTTTAATGCATTGCGCTTCCATGGCGAGCAATTGAGTTTACTATACCGGAAAGAAGGGTGTTTAACAATTTTCACAAGATGATGGTTCTTCTATGTTGATAGTAATAATTGGTTTATTTATTTAGTATTAAAACAGAAAGCTTGGAAATTGGGACCAAATATAAAACGGGATTTAAAAAGAAAATAAATATTAAGACAGAAAAAGCACTGCATCAGAAACGTATTATATTGTAAAAGCCAAAAAACACATGAAGCACCCTGAGAGTCCAAATCTCCACCAAGGCAGCTCACTCACTGGACAGTAAGAAACACTTTTAAATAGCTCTGTGTAGCATTATTATTGTTTTGACCTTCAGATCAATCTACTAACCTTGAATGAGAGGTTTAAAGCCCAAATGGGACATGAAATTCTAAATCTTTATACAGTGCTAACCACACTTGTAAAAATCATAGTTTCTAAGTTATAAAGCTTTTTGTCAGTTTATGACCAACAAGTCTGGCACGGTGGTTAGCACTGTTGCCGCACAGCAAGAAGGTCCTGAGTTCAATTCCAACATCAGGCCGGGGTCTTTCTGTGTGGAGTTTGCATGTTCTCCCCGTGTTTGCGTGGGTTCCCTCCGGGTACTCCGGCTTCCTCCCACCGTCCAAAGACATGCACTTAGTGGGGATAGGTTAATTGGATAACCCAAATTGTCACTAGGTGTGAATGTGCGAGTGAATGTGAGTGTGAATGGTTGTCTGTCCCTGTATGTTGGCCCTGCGACAGACTGGCGACCTGTCCAGGGTGTACCCCGCCTCTCGCCCTATGACAGCTGGGATAGGCTCCAGCGCCCCCCGCAACCCTGAAAAAGGATAAGCGGAAGCGAATGGATGAATGGATGACCAACAAGTCATTAAGTTGACCTTGAAGACCTCAGTGGGTCTAAGCCAAAATTTAATGGATATCATAATTAATGTCAAACTTTTGAGCTATCGTGTTTACAGACAGAAATACACACGTACATAAACAGTACCAGAAACACAAGCTCCTTGAACGAAAGCAAAAGAGAATTAAAAACCAAATGAGAATATAAAGCAGCAATAAGAGGGCGAAAGACAAACCGGAGAGATCAATGACATCACAAAAGCAAGTTTATAAAAATGTGTTTTTTCTAGTGATTTCAAGTAGTCACCAATTTTACCTTATCTCCTTGGGCAGATTGTTTTCGAAAGTTTGGGGCTGTGATGGCAATAGCACGGTCACCTTTAGATTTAAGTCTTGACTTTAGAGCAACCAGAAGGGCCTCAGCTGCTTTAAAAGTGACTAGTAAAATAATTTAAAACTTTTAAAACACATTATAAAACATGTAGACAGGTAGAAGCAGAGCTGCTGCATTTTAATCTGGTTGGAGGCGAGACTGACTTTTCATTTATGCCAGAATGATTGAATAGCCTGTGGATGTTATTTTGAAGAAGCCGGGCCAAATAGGTTTTCAACGTTTGCGTGAAAAGTCACCAAGTTATAAGAAGCTGTCATTCCCTGATATTGTCCCTCAACCTGCCTGAATAAATCCTGTTGATTAAAACAGCCATAGACCCTTTTTTTCACATATTTTGATGGTATGAAAAGCAGAGTTGGATTTAAGTGGGAGTCAAGTCAGTAAAACATGATAGTGAACTAATCAAAAACAGTACATACCCCAGAGTGACTGATTTAACTGATATTTGTGATGATGGCTGCATTTCAAACTTCACTTTAGCATCTTTGATGCAGTGCTCCACAGATGATGCAACTGTTCTTTCTCTTCTGTGTCAGAATGTCTGCTTCAGGACCAAAGCAGTGTGTAAAACTTTCCCCCCCTTTTTTTAAAAGGTATATTTAGACGAGAAAGAGATCGTGAGATGTAAAACTCCCTGTTTTATTAACAGACTAAGGATGAAATGGTTAAAAATTTTAAACTTGTCAGGTGATTTGCAAGATAGCAAATACACTGCAGAGGTCAAAACAACCTCCAGGCACAACTTCCTGAGTGTGTTTGCACGGTTTTTCCAGAGGTGTTTGAGAAACACCAGCATGAGCTGAGGATAGCTGGAGGTGCTGTGCGGGATCTGCTGTCTGGGAAGCGGCCTGAAGATGTGGATTTTGCTACCACAGCCACTCCAGAGGAGATGAAGCACATGTTTCAAACGGCTGGGATCAGGATGATCAACAATAAAGGAGAGAAGCACGGGACTATCACTGCACGAGTAAGAGGCTCTGCTGTGTAACGCTGATGAAGTCTTTCATTTGTCTAAATAATGCTAAAAGCTGATTTGAACAGTGTTAAACTTAACTGTCAGCGACTGCTTAACCAAACTTGCTGTCCTGGTATAGTTATGGTAGCTAATGTTGTTTGAAAGGAACAATAACTTTATTACTGATTTCTTAGAAAATGTATATTTTCTGTCTGTTTTTGTCTAATAGAAAATAAAATGCACTTAAGAAAATAATAAGTATTTAGACAGCTACATTTGAAGTGTACTCTATAGATAGATGCTGGGTGTCATTTTTAAAGATTCGCATGAGGTTCAGATTTTAGAGTTGGTGTTTATGGTAAATATGGGTGAAGAGGAGGTCATGTGAGTTAACAAGGCAAGAATTAGTAAAGCTTAAAAATGCATCGCAAATATTAGAGCTAGTTTGTCCAAATCAACACTTGTGATGATTCTTAAAATAAAAACAAAATGAAAAAAACAAGCCAGTCAAACAAGGTTTTAGGCTGAATGAGCTTTCTTCATAATTAGGATTAAGAATTAAATGATTCAAAACTTAAATGAACAAATCAAAAAGTTAGTCTCATACAGTAGCTGTTTTATATTTTAAGGTAAATAACCTACAGAATTACAAACTAAAAGTGTAATTGTCCAGATTCTTCACATCTGTTTATGACCACGTGGTCATGTGAGGGTCAGTTTTAATGGTGGAATAAAGTAAGTGTGCAAATATAAAGTAAATACGTGAGCAAAGATTGTGATGATTCACTGAGCAGCCAGCTGCATCATCAGTCTGATCAGTCAAATCTTAAATCTTAATGGAAAGATTGAAATGGTTGAACGGCCCTGATGCTTTGCATAAATAAGCAGCTCACTAATAGGATGATCTTGATGAGTGTTTCCTTTATTGGGTGTTTGCAGCTGCACAATGAGAGCTTTGAGGTGACCACACTGCGAGTGGATGTTCAGACTGATGGACGTCATGCAGAGGTGGAATTCACAACTGACTGGCAGAAAGATGCTGAGCGGAGAGACCTCACCATTAACTCCATGTTTCTGGGTAATTTCCCTTCTTCTCCACTGAGCCTAAAAATGGACTGTACAAAGAATTGATAACACTGAGCTTCTTTCACCTGTACCTTCACCTTCACTCAAAATCTAAAAACCATTTTCATCTAGCACGTTTTCTTTTTTTTAAATGATGATGTTTCAAGTATTGTACAGCTGTGATAATGGGACAGATTCACCATTTAAGAAATAAATCTGGTCTCTGGAAAAACACCAAAATTAGGAATGTGTTCTTGGTGTTTTTCCTGAAATCTGTTAACTGATGCTTGACAGTGAGTTCAAAAGGAAGCTTAAGCCACAGGAAGCACTCGAGCAGGTTGTCCAGAATTTTCTTGACAATCACAGAGCAGAGAACTTGAGTTTGTATTGAGAATAAACACATTAAAACAGTTTTGGAAGTACTTAAAATGTCAGAAATTATGTTGCTATATTGATATTTAAAAATGTCAAAACATCAGTGATGTGCATCTCAAACCTGCCATGCAAGCTTAAATCAGTTTTCATATGCGAAATCAATGTAAAAACAAACAAATTAAAGAGAACTAGAAGAAGAGTCGGTCTGAAGTTCCCAGTTGCAACCAAAAAGTATTGTTTTTGCATTCCAATTTTTTTGTGACAAGTCGTGTGACTCTGCTTCCTATAACAGGTCTGGACGGCACATTGTATGATTATTATCGTGGATATGAGGACCTGCAGAACCGTAAAGTGCGGTTTGTTGGCAGCGCTGAACAAAGGATCAAAGAGGACTACCTGAGAATACTACGATATTTTAGGTAGACTTCCTCATTTCTTTTTGTATCTACTTGAGACTGTGAAGTTTAAAAAGCAGATTGTCTTCCTTGTTTGACGTGAGCCTACTAACCACCTCACTCCCATCATTTTGTCGCAGGTTTTACGGCCGAGTTGCTTCGGAGCCCGGTGACCACGAGTCTGAGACACTGACTGCCATCAGGGAAAATGGTCACGGGCTGGGCGCTATATCGGGAGAGCGAATCTGGGTGGAGCTAAAAAAGTTGGCGGTCGGGAACCATGCTGCTCACCTGCTGGAGCTGATCTACAGCCTGGAACTGGCTCAGTACCTTGGTGAGAGAGGGAGGGCACGGCTGGGTGTCTTAATAATTTTAAACTCCAGATAAAAAATGTTTATATGTTTATGTTCAGCTGTTTTTAAAAAGAAGAAAAGGTAAATCTGACATTTTAAGAGTTTTTCACATTATATCCAGCACTACCAAAGATGAATTAGAAAAATAAATTATTTTAAAAAGGAAATCATGGTGGTTGCAGCTCAGATGTCAACATTAGTTTTTCCCTGTAGGTTTTTTTTATTTATTTTTTTAATTTTATGTATTTATTTAGCTGACGGTTACACCTACACTCATACTCATAGAACTGGTTATTATTTGTGAAATATGCTTTTTGTAGACAACATTTTTTACCCAATATGGTCAAATTTGACCTCTTTGTGTAGAGCATGGTATCCCTTTTGCCTTGGCACGGATCCTTCTTAAAAGTGGGCTGAGGGGATGGCAGTGAAATCATTGTTTTCTTAGCATAGGTCTGGACATAATGGATCAAATGTGCCAACCTTTTTCTTGCAATTTGCAGCTGTTTATAACTGGGAGAAAGTTTTGGTTTCCTTCCCTGAGATAAAGAGGATTAAGTGCCTCCTGATGTCTGTGGTCCTCTGAGCTCTATTATTGCCTCGTATCTAATAAGGTTCTATTTCCTCTGATTTAACTCTTGTTAAATTAGTATTTAATAGGATTGAGGGAGAAATCATTCTACCAAACATTTTCTGTCTTGTTACACATCAGTTCTGGTCACTCCCTCCTGTCCCTGCTGCTCCTCAGGGTTACCTCCAGATGGCGATATTGACGAGATGAAGCGAGTGTGGCAGAACGCCAAAGACCGCTCTCCCAAACCCATGACCATCCTGGCTGCTCTGTTCCGCTCCCCAGAGCAGGTGGAAAAGATGGACATCCGATTGAAGGTGTCCAGAGAGGAGAAGAACCTGGCACTGTTTCTGGTCAAATACAGACGGGAGCTCTGCAAGAGAGAAGATGAGCCAGACAGCCTCAAACCTTTCACTGACTTTATTATTGACGTAAGTTTCTTCTTCTTCCACTCGGTCTGTACAGAGAATATTATTTCCAGACCAATGTGGTCACTGATATTAGTCACATATGTGTTTAAAAAGCCAGTTTCACAGACATTAATTAACCCTTTGAGTCTGTGAATGTTCCCTACCATAGCCTGTGTCGCTAATGTTCAAGAGTTGCCAGCCTGCAGCAGTCATTCACAACAGACTGCAGCATGTTCTCATCCGACTGTTACGGCTTTGTTTTCAGAGGCAGGAAGTATTTAGGAAATGTGTGGCATCGTTAACCAGAGCTGAACCAAAACCACTGCTGATCTTTGATGAAATATTTATCTTTGCAATGTTTGTAGAATAAAAAAAATAGTTTCCAAAACATTCGGATAGTTATTTTTGTAAATGGTGCATATTTCACAAATCTTAGCTGAACCTTAGTTTGTGTTTTAGCAGTATTTGTTTTAGCTGTTATTTTAAAGTTGTTTTGTTTTTTTATGTGGAAATGTCAACATAATAGATTTGCTAAATTGATTTGACACTAGTTTAAGCTTTGATCAGTTTTCGTTACAACCCAGCTCATAAGCTGAAACACACCGGAGAGAGACTGACACCAGAGTTTATAGAAACATCAGTTTTATTTTTAATTAGTTTATAATCTCATCTATCAAAGCCAGCTAACACTGTGCACTGCCACTGCAGGAGAGCAGGGGGTAACAGAGGAGCCTAGAACAGGTCAAAGAGCCGAACCAAAACCAGATCTGTTAGGGTCAAATACTCTACAGCAGGGGTAGGCAACATCAGGCCTCGAGTGCCGGTGTCCTGCAGGTTTTAGATCCCACCCTGGGTTAACACACCTGAATCAAATGATTAGTTCATTACCAGGCCTCTGGAGAACTTCAAGAAATGCTGAGGAGTCATTTAGCCCTTTAAATCAGCTGTGATGGATCATGGACACATCTAAAACCTGCAGGACACCGGCCCTTGAGGCCTGGAGTTGCCTATCCCTGCTCTACAGCTACCAAAACACTCTGCTAGTTCTTTCTGTAGTTAGTGCATCTTTCACAAACCGTAGCTCAACTTCAGTTTTAGTTGTAGCAGTATTTTTTTTAAAACTGTCATTGAAGTTCTTAAAGACATAAATATGAAATTGTATTTAGATTTGCTAATTAGACACATGATTCCACATTCAAGCTAAAGTATAATAGACAATTTCAGCACTATAAAGCCTACATTATTGACATTCTACACTTTCTTTATATTTCCATGTATAACTAGACATACATGCTGGGCAGTATTTATGAGGGAATAGTATTGTCTTTTATATGTAGTTATTTTGTTTTCTTTGTTCTTTTTAAATGTACTTGAAGTTTAGTGCAGTAAAATTAACACATTTTAGGGACTAATTGAAAAAAAAGTGTTGCCAATGCAAACAAAGGCAGCAGGATTTTACAGATAAGACATTTTATGAAAGTTTAACCTAACTTGACCGCAAAGAGAGATCAGAGGTACAAAGTACTGTGATATTTAGAATCCGTATATCAGTCGCTATATGCTTGTGGTCAGTACAAACAATGGTAGTAAGAACCATAGTTTTAAATGGCTCTATACAACCTTATTATTATTATTACTTTGACTTTAAGATCAGTTTATTGACCACGGGTCAAATGCGACATATTTTAAATCTTTCTACAATATTTTCTATATGTTGAAACTTCACACCGCACTTGTAAGTATTGTTTCTAAGTCATAAACGCTCCCGTGCTATGGAAATGTGCTTTGCTACCAGCGCGAGTAGTCGTGTCTTGAGCTGGTGACAAAACTAATTATGGAAACTAACAAACATACTGATTGTGACATGAAAGCCTCGTAAATGTCAAGATGAGGTAGATTTTTAAAATGTTTTGTACACAGACAGTAAAGAGTGTGACCATCAACAGGAAGTATCCTGAAGTTTAAAAAGAGCCATCAAGACATTTATGCAAATATAGCGAGTAAAGGAGGGAGTTGGTTTATTTCTGGTTTATTTAATCCAGTGACTCTTGCTTCATGTCATTCAATTAGTGAATGAAAATCAGCTGAACAAGTAAGAGTTTTAAGTTCCACCATTTAATGGTTGCAGCTTTCTTTAAAAAATAAAAAGTGATCGGTGCAGAGTCAGCTTAGGCCAGGAGGGCTGCCTGGTTTATAACATGCTGGTGGATCCCTGACTGTGAGCGAGGAAGTGAACATGTACAACACCTTGTAGGATTAAGCAATAATTGAAAGATGGCATGTTTACTGAATATAGAAAAAGTCAGTTTGGGAGAGACAGTGTTCTGTTCTCACCATTTTTCTGAAGTTATTTTCAAAACCAAATTTAGTCGTTGTATCTTAAGCTGTCACTTTTTTTAGACTGTTTTTGTTCTTATATCTTTTAATTTAATTTTTGTTTTACTCAGGTTGACATTGATAAACAAAAACACAATACTTTAACCCTTCCATCACCAGAGGCACCACTGGATAAAGTAGACGGAGAAAGAACGAAGACTGGTTTCTCACTGGGCTTGTCTCGCCTTATAGAGCAGATTCCTTTATTTGGGTTTTGCTGTGTGCATGTTGGTTTGACGTTGGCTGAGAGTCAGTTGGAAAAATGTGCAGCTGCATATTTTTAACCACTCAGGATTTAAGAGAATTTGAGTCAAAGCGGTGGCGACAGTTAAAGATTTGTCTGCTTTTGTTGCCAGACCGCTGTCAGTCAAACCTGATCAGACCACAGTGTCCTGAACAGTTCAGCCAAGTATTTACTGTAAATGGTCAACCTTTCTTACTGTTGCTTGTGACTGGGATGTTCTAGAAAATCCCTCTGTGGTTACTTCGATTCACACACATGTCGCATCCTTTCAGAGTCGGGAGCTGGATTCCCAGAGTAAAGTGTGCGAGCTGCTCAAGTACAAAGGTGAGGAGAAGCTCCTGTCAGAGCTGAGCAGATGGTCCATCCCTCGCTTCCCCATCAGCGGGCACGATCTGAGGAAGCTGGGCATCACCTCGGGCAAAGAGATAGGCGCCACCTTACAGAAGCTCCGTGACATTTGGAAGAAGAGTCATTACCAGATGGACAAAGATGAACTGCTGAGTTATGTAAAGCTATAAACAAGCAGAGGAGCAGAAATGTTTTTGTTGTGTTTAGATGGTAATCACATGGACGCTTGATGCTGCGACTGCACTGCTCCTGGGTATTGTTTGAGACATGAAATCGGGCGGAAAAATGCTCTTTAGCCTGAGCCTGCAGCCTTGGGCCACTATTGTTGATGCTCAGCCAGTTGAATTCTCATCTTTTGCAGTAAACTCGCTCTGACCTGTAAAGGACGACAACACATGGAATAAATTCAGTTTATTCAGAGTAGATGTTTATTTTCATTGTTCATATGATGATAGGAAGCAGAGGAATGTTTGTGTCTGTGGCTTTTTTATGTTGACTGTATTTCTGTTTTCTGTACAGATCATTTTACACTTCTACTAAAAGGTTCTGTTTTCATGGCTGCCCTTTTCTGCATGCTCTGTACAATAAAAGGTGGCCCCTGTGTGTGAATCCTAATGTTTCTGGCACTGTGAGAAATAAAAATTTTTGTGCTGGAGTGAGATTGCTCCTCCCTCCCACAGAGATGAGACATAAAACCCGCTGATCTCCTTTACTACCGCTCTATGTGTATGAAGAAGCTCAACAGTTGTTCAGCCCGTGTCCCTCCCGCCGTCGTTTTTACATTTCGATGAAATCGCCAAGAGTTTTCTGTATCGTTCACATGCTGCCTCTGCCGCTGGATTCACCTGGAGTGGTTATTTAATCCCCTCTGTGCTACGCTTGGGTTGAACGCATGGCTTGGATCGGTGTAAATATCAGTAACGTCTCTTCGGAGAGTGCACCGTTTGGTGACGATCCTCGGGATGAGCGCTTGGCGCAGGTGGAAATCGCCCTTCTCGCCATCATCTTCATCACAGCGGGGATCCTAAACTTTGGGATCTTGCTGGTGCTGTGGAAGCGCAGGAAGCCGCTTTCCAGAATGCGCGTCTTCGTTTTCCACCTGTGCGTCGCTGACTTGGTGGTCACATTTTTCCAAGTCTGCCCCCAACTCATCTGGGACATCACCGACAGGTTCATCGGTCCAGATGTGCTGTGTCGGGCGGTAAAATACCTGCAGGTGGTCGGGATGTTCGCCTCCACGTACATGATCGTAGTGATGACTATAGATCGGTACCAAGCCATTTGCAATCCCATGGTAACTTTCCAGAGGCGCAGGGCGCGCTGGAACGGTCCGGTGTGCGCCGCCTGGTGCGTCTCCGTCCTCTGCAGCCTCCCGCAGGTCTTCATCTTCTCTCGGGTCGAGGTCGCTCCCGGCGTGTACGATTGTTGGGCGCAGTTCATCGAGCCGTGGGGACGGAGAGCCTACGTAACCTGGACGACTTTGGTGATATTCGTCCTGCCAATTCTCACCGTGATCGTGTGCCAGGTGCGCATCTGCCGCGCAGTGCAGCTTAACTTCCACATGAAGACGCACCACGTCGGGGAAGCGGTCAGCAAGCCTCCGTCATCGAGGGCCAGCAGCGTGGCAGGAGTGTCCAAGGCCAGGGTGAAGACGGTGAAGATGACCGTGGTCATCGTGCTCGCATACATCCTCTGCTGGACACCTTTCTTCACCGTGCAGCTTTGGGCTGTCTGGGACGACGAGGCACCCACACAGAGTAAGAAGACATGATCCCACAACACGCAAAAAGGGCACAGTCTGACATAAAAGTCACTGGAAAGCAAAAAAATAAAAAAAATGTTATTACTGCAAGTTTAACTGGCTACAAACGCCATCATGCTCAGGAAAACAATAGAGGAGGAAACTAGAATTTTCTGCATAATTGCTTTGAACTCATTCCACTTATACAATCCCGTTACACTTAATACATCCAGTAAATTACATTATTTCTAACATCTACACCTTAAAATCTCTTAGTATTACAATGAAAGTGTACTTTAAAAGTGAAATTACGAGGGAAGGATGCCCTCTCCACTTGAATGAAGTCACTGTAATCGACAGACAGTACATTAGGTCAAAGGTTAATGGTCCTTAATTTCACAAAGCATCAACAGATAACTTAAAATAGCCACAAATCTGTAAGAGGCAACCAAGCCCAAATAAAGTGACTCTCATGTCCTCCTCATCTATCTCCAGGTGCAACCTTCACCATCTTGATGCTGCTTGCCAGTTTAAACAGCTGTGTGAACCCCTGCATCTACATGCTGTTTAGCGGAAAGCTACCCAAAAGGGTGGTCAGCCTGCTTTGTGTAGGTCAGCCTGACCTGAAGGAGTCCATGCAGGAAGAAGCCACTGTGGTCAGCTCCATGTACATCAGCCTCAAGAGCCTATCGGACTGCAGATGAAAGCCCCGATGATCACACACTGATTACACCTCATTTCGCATGGTGTGAAAGTACGGCTCCCTCATGGTAAAGACTGAAACTCTTCTAATAAGTGTGAAGGCAAACAGCCTAGCAGTGTAATGTTCCTACTGTACAGATGATCACTGCATACAACGCTTTCATACAGAAAATGCCAGACACACGATCTTGCACATCACATTTTGAAAACATTTTTCAAATTAAAAGAACAAAAACAATAAAAAAAAAAATAGCTGTGACTGAAATATGTCCTCAAGTACTGGATAAATTCACTAAAATCCCAAATTTGACATTCGTGGTGCTCAGAGGAAGTCTCTCTGCAAGCACTAACCTGAGCTTGAATATTACTTTGACTTTATTAGCAGGAAATGCTCAGATATGAATGGTCTCCAGCTGATAATAACTTGAGCAGTAGCGTTTTCTTCTGGCACCGTTATCAGGTAGGAGTTTTATTTTGTCTGAGACCAGCTGACGAGTAAAAACCTCGAAAGCCAATAATCACATCCCCACCAGCTTCAGTTGTGATTTGATTAAAAAGACTGCGGTGCATGACTCGAAATGTTGTTTCTGATATTTTACTGCGTTGAATATTTTCCCCAAAAAGTTTGTTTATCAGCTGATCTTGTGAAATGTTTCACCTAAATGCGATTGTTCCCGTGTCTGTGTTTAAATATCTCGTATGTCATCTGAATTAAATACTTCAAGCTCTTTTACGCCCATGTGTACATACGATCATGTGTATGACAGTGTCCGACCTACACTCGGTGGCTGAAATAGTTAACAGGCGACATCAATAGTACTTATTTTCAGACACTCTGTGTTCAGTGCCCCTAGAGAGTCATTGATACATGTTGCCATTTTTCCTTTCATCCCCCAAGGATCTAGGGCTGTGATTTCTGATGACTTGTTTCTTTCTTCCCATCAGCACCGTCACGTTTAGAAAAGAAAAAATCCCTTTGGATTTAAAGCTCAACTGTTTATTTGCACTCGGAGGCCTCGGTTACACATACTTCTGTTTGCTCACTTTATATTTAGGCCTCAAATTTTCTGCTGAAGATCACTTAATAGCGTTTCCATCTTCCACGTGGAGGATGGAATGCAAGCGTATGTAATTATTCAATCGTGCGCTCTATATTATTATACAACATATCATTAGAACTCACGGAGAGCGAGGTGGGAAAGATTAGCAAAAACCCAGCATGCGGCACATCTTTCTGAAGCGAGCGGTTGAAGATGTGCATCTTCTGTGTGTAATTTGAAAGCCAGGAGAACTTAATAAAACATTTCTGTGAAACATCATTACGGCCACAAGAAATGCGCTTCTGTGCTTTCATTAGGCTGCACAGACAAATCCGACACAAATTGTCCAACAATAAATCTGCTTTTACCCTCATCAGCGAGCGCCCAGCAGGGCCTCGGCAAGGACATTTAACAGTAATAAGAACAACGGCTGCTGGGCGCTCGTGAGGTCATTAATATTTAAACCAATCAGCGCACCCCCTAAAATATAAATGGTTCCCTACACCAAGACCAAAAGTTCACCATAGAACTTGATAAATAAAAATATTGGCCACCCCACTTCAGTTTTCATGCATTACAGGGTCGCATTTCAGTTCTGCTTGGTAGTGTTTATAGTATAAAACACTATGACGTGTCCTTATTCTGGGATTATACTGACCACATACCCAGCATCCAATTGGAAATTACTTACAATAACTGACATAAAATAACGAAACACTGACAGCTCAGTAATGAAATATATAAAGGCCTACTTGTTTTGTTTTTTTCTTTTTATTTCTTTTTTCTTTTTTTACTTTTTTTTCTTTTTTTTCTTTTTTCTTTTTTCTTTCTTTTTCTTTCTTTTTTCTTTCTTTTTTTCCTTTTTTAAAAAAAAAAAAAAAAATAAAAAAAAAAAAAAAAAAAATAAAAAAAAATAAAAAAATAAAAAAAAAAAAAAAAAAATAAATTAAAAAAAAATAAAAAAAAAAAAAAAAAAAAAAAAAAACTAAAAAAAAAAAAATTAAAATTTAAAAAAAAAAAAAAAAAAATATTAAAAAAAAAAAAAAAAATAAAAAAATATTTAAAAAATAATAAAAATAAAGAATATAAAAAAAAAATTAATAAATAACATAATAAAATAAAAAAGAAAAATAATAAAAAAAAAATTAAATTAATAAAATTTAATTAAAAAATTTCTTAAAATAAAAAAAAAATTAAAACACACAATAAACAAACAAAATAAAAAAATATAAAAAAAAAAAAAAATATAAACAAAAAAAAAGAAATAAAAGGAAAAAAAAAAAATAAAAAAAAAAAAAAAAAAAAAAAAAAAATACAAAAAAAAATTAGAAAAAAATAAAATTAAATAAATATACAAAAACAAAAATAAATAAAAGTATATTTAAAAAATATAAAAAAAAAATTTACAGGCGGAAAATAAAAAAAAAATAAAAAAAAAAATAAAAAAATAATAAAATAAAAATAAAAAAATTTAAGTCTTTAAAAAAAATTAAAATTAATTATTTAAATCCAATATTAATAAAAAAAAAAAAAAAACAATTATTAAATAACTAGATAAAAATAAAAAAATATATAAAAAAAATAAAAAATTATAAAATAAAAAACAAAAATTTAAAAAAATCAAAAAATATTACAATGATAAAACTAATAATAATAATAAAATAAAATAATAAACAAATAAACAAACAGAAAAAAACAAAGAAAATAAAAAAAAAAAAAAGAAAAAAAAACAAAACCAAAAAAAAAATAAAAATAAAAAAATAAAATAAAATAAAAAATAACAATATTAACTAAATAAAGATTAAAAATAATTTTTAAAGTCTATTAAAAAAACAAAAAAAAATAAAAAATAAATATTTAAAAATTCAAATTAAAAATTAATAAAAAATAAAAAAATATAATATTAAAATAGAAAATTTAACATGAAAGAATATAATACAAAGAAAATTAAAAATAAATATTAAAAATAACAAATATATAAAAAAATACAAAAAATAAATTAAATTTAAATTATAAATAAAAAAATAAAAATAAAAAAAAAAATAAACCCCCCACACAACAAAAAAAAATAAAAGAAAATAAAAATTAAAAAAAAAGAAAAGATAAGAAAAGAAAAGAAAAGGAAATATAACACTTAAAATTAAAAAAAAAAAAAAAATTCACACCAAAAATAAAAAAAAAAAAAATTATTAATTAAAATGATATAT